TGGATCCCTGTAATCTGAGGGAAATATGTGTCTCTAATATGGTCATACATTGGCAGGAGGTTAGGAAGTGCAGCTCAGTTTCCACCTCATTTTGTGGGCAGTGTGCACATAGCCTGTCTTCTCTTGAGAGCCAGGTCTGCCTACGGCGGCCTTCTCAATAGCAAGGCTAGGCTCACGAATCTGTACATAGTCAAAGCTTCCTTAAGTTGGGTCAGTCACAGTGTCGGTAGTATCTGCCACTGTGTACTCATCTGTTTAGGGCCCAAATAGCATTCTAGTTTGCTCTGTTTATTTGTTTGTTCTTTCCAATGTGTCAAGTAATTCTTCTTTTTGTTTCTCATGATTTGGTTGGGTCTAATTGTGTTGTGTGTTGTTGTCCTCTATCTCATCTCTCCTCTCTATCGCTCTCTCTCTCGCTCTCTCGCTCTCTCTCTCTCTCTCTCTCGAGCCTCCCTCTCTACTATCCATCGATATCTCTCTCATATCTCTCTCTCTCTCTTGCGCTTCTCTCTATCTCTCTCTCCCTCTATCGATCTCTCTCTCTCTTCTCCATTCTTTAATGGACAGTCTGTAAACAGATCCCCATCTATCCTGATGGAATGAAGAGAGAGAGAGAGAGAGAGAGAGAGAGAGAAAGAGAGTGAGAGAGAGAGAGAACGAGAGATGGGAGAGAGAGAGAGGGGACAGAGAGACAGAATGAGAGCGAGAGAGAGCGAGAGAGAGAAGAGAGAGAGAACGAGAGAGAGAGAGAGCGAGAGAGAGAGAGAGGGCAGAGCGACAGAACGAGAGAGCGAGAGAGAGAGAGAACGAGAGAGAATGAAAGAATGGCATATTATTATATTATAAAGAAAGATAGAAAGAGAGATAGCTCAAACATAGCCCCATCTCAGGGTGCCATTTGAGAAGCAGACATTATGTACACACAGGCACGCACACACGCACGCACACACACACACACACGCTCTGCAAGTTGCTACGTCCTGGTCGTCAAGGAGATGGTTGCCTCTGGCGTCACCGAGCAATACTTTCTCAGGGACCAGAGGAGACGAACAGGTTGTGTGTGTGTGTGTGTGTGAGTTTGTGCCACTGTGTGTGTGTGTATGTGTGCGTGCGACTGTGTGTGTGTGTGTGTGTGTGAGGAATAAGAATCAGTTTGAATAGCTCTCTCCAACTGCCGTTCTGCGGCCAACAAGGCAGAGTTCATCTCAGCCTATGCTACCCTCCAGTCCCTTGACTTCTTGGCGCTGACGGAAACATGGATTTTCACAGAAAACACTGCTACTCCTACTGCTCTTTCCTCGTCTGATCATGTGTTCTCGCATACCCCGAGAGCATCTGGTCAGCGCGGCAGTGGCACAGGAATCCTAATCTCTCCCAAGTGGACATTCTCTCTTTTTCCCCTGACCCATCTGTCTATCTCCTCATTTGAATTCCATGCTGTCACAGTCACTAGCCCATTCAAGCTTAACATCCTTATCATTTATTGCCCTCCAGGTTCCCTTGGAGAGTTCATCAATGAGCTTGACGCCTTGATAAGTTATTTTCCTGAGGATGGCTCACCCCTCACAGTTCTGGGTGACTTTAACCTCCTGACGTCTGCCTTTGACTCATTTCTCTCTGCCTCCTTCTTTCCACTCCTTTCCTCTTTTGACCTCACCCTCTCACCGTCCCCCCCTACTCACAAGGCAGGCAATACACTTGACCTCATCTTTACTAGATGCTGTTCTTCTACTAATCTCACTGCAACTCCCCTCCAAGTCTCCGACCACTACTTTGTATCCTTTTCTCTCTCGCTCTCCTCCAACACTATTCACTCTGCCCCTACTCAGATGGTAATGTGCCGTCGCAACCTTCGCTCTCTCTCTCCCGCTACTCTCTCCTCTTCCATCCTATCATCTCTTCCCTCTGCTAAATCCTTCTCCCTCCGATCTCCTGATTCTGCCTCCTCAACCCTCCTCTCCTCCCTTTCTGCATCTTTTGACTCTCTATGTCCCCTATCCTCCCGGCCGGCTCGGTCCTCCCATCCTGCTCCGTGGCTTGACGACTCATTGCGAGCTCAGGCAGCCGAGCGGAAATGGAGGAAAACTAGACTCCCTGCGGACCTGTCATCTTTTCACTCCCTCCTCTCTACATTCTCTTCCTCTGTTTCCGCTGCTAAAGCCACTTTCTACCACTCTAAATTTCAAGACTCTGCCTCTAACCCTAGGAAGCTATTTGCCACCTTCTCCTCCCTGCTGAATCCTCCTCCTCCTCCCCCTCCCTCCTCCCTCTCTGTGGATGACTTCCAACCATTTTGAAAAGAAGGTTGACGACATCCGATCCTCATTTATTAAGTAAAATGACACTGCTGGTCCTGCTCACACTGCCCTACCCTATGCTTTGACTTCTTTCTCCCCTCTCTCTCCAGATGAAATCTTGTGACTTGTGACGGCCGGCCGCCCAACAACCTGACCGCTTGACCCTATCCCCTCCTCTCTTCTCCAGACCATTTCCGGAAACCTTCTCCCTTACCTCACCTCGCTCATCAACTCATCCTTGACCGCTGGCCATGTCCCTTCCGTCTTCAAGAGAACCTACACTCGATCCCTCCGATGTCAACAACTACAGACCAGTATCCCTTCTTTCTTTTCTCTCCAAAACTTTTGAGCGTGCCGTCTCTAGCCAACTCTCCTGCTATCTCTCTCAGAATGACCTTCTTGATCCAAACCAGTCAGGTTTCAAGACTGGTCATTCAACTGAGACTGCTCTTCTCTGTGTCACGGAGGCTCTCCGCACTGCTAAAGCTAACTCTTTCTCCTCTGCTCTTATCCTTCTAGACCTATCTGCTGCCTTTGATACTGTGAACCATCAGATCCTCCTCTCTACCCTCTCCGAGTTGGGCATCTCTGGCGCTGCTCACTCTTGGATTGCGTCCAACCTGACAGATCGCTCCAACCAGGTGGCGTGGCGAGAATCTGTCTCCGCACCACATGCTCTCACCACTGGTGTCCCCCAGGGCTCAGTTCCAGGCCCTCTCCTATTCTCTCTATACACCAAGTCACTTGGCTCTGTCATATCCTCACATGGTCTCTCCTATCATTGCTACGCAGACGACACACAATTCATTTTCTCCTTTCCCCCTTTTGATAGCCAGGTGGCGAATCGCATCTCTGCATGTCTGGCAGACATATCAGTGTGGATGTCGGCTCACTACCTCAAGCTTAACCTCGGCAAGACGGAGCTGGTCTTCCTCCCGGGGAAGGACTGCCCTCTCCATGATCTTGCAATCACGGTTGACAACTCCATTGTGTCTTCCTCCCAGAGTGCAAAGAACCTTGGCGGGACCCTGGACAACACCCTGTCGTTCTCCGCTAACATCAAAGCGGTGACCCGATCCTGCAGGTTCACGCTCTACAACATTCGCAGAGTACGACCCTACCTCACACAGAAAGCGGCACATGTCCTAATCCAGGCACTTGTCATCTCCCATCTGGATTACTGTAACTCGCTGTTGGCTGGGCTCCCTGCCTGTGCCATTAAACCCCTACAACTTATCCAGAATGCTGCAGCCCGTCTGGTGTTCAACCTTCCCAAGTTCTCTCATGTCACCCCGCTCCTCTGCACACTCCACTGGCTTCCAGTTGAGGCTCGCATCTACTACAAGACCATGGTGCTTGCCTACGGAGCTGTGAGGGGAACGGCACCTCCTTACCTTCAGGTTCTGATCAGACCCTACACCCAAACGACGGCACTACGTTCATCCACCTCTGGCCTGCTAGCTCCCCTACCTCTACGGAAGCACAGTTCCTGCTCAGCACAGTCAAAGCTATTCGCTGCTCTGGCACCCCAATGGTGGAACAAGCTCCCCCGCGACGCCAGGACAGCGGAGTCACTGACCACCTTCCTGAGACACTTGAAACCCTACCTCTTTAAGGAATACCTGGAATAGTATAAAAGTAATCCTTCTACCCCACCCTCCCCCACCCCCCCATAAAAAAAAGAAAGAAAAAAAGGTGGTATCATAAGGTGAATGCACCAATTTGTAAGTTGCTCTGGATAAGAGTGTCTGCTAAATGATGTAAATGTAAATGTAGTAGGAGCATATAAGGCTATACGGTTCTACCATGTTAACATTCCAAGGTTTGTCTCTGAAAGTGAAGCTGGTTAATTAATAACCCCCACATGATATCACAGATCCGAGATAAACACAGCAATGCTTTAACGTTTGACATTTGAAACCAAGGACGATTCATTATGAATGTATATGCACACAAAAAATAAAAAAACTATGAATAATTGTTTTGGGTCATTTAGCAGACGCTCTTATACAGAGCAATTAGGGTTAAGTGCCTTGCTCAAGGGCACATCGACAGATTTTTCACCTAGTCGGCTCGGGGATTAGAACCAGTGACCTCTCGGTTACTGGCACAACGCTCTTAACCACTAAGCTACCTGCCGCCAAATGGCACCCTCTTCTGTTTCATATTCATTCATCAATGTCTTAATCATTACTCTCCGGTAGGCAGGAATGCTGATGGGTCCTGATAGAAGCAGAGAAAACCCAAACTAAGCCTGCTGGAGGAAGTTTGTAGATGACCCATGCTTCCCAAGAAGCAGAAGTGAAGTCCTCATTCTACACATTTCTCTCAAAGTGTACACTCACACACTTTCTTATATGATGCAAAAAATAGGCTACTGGTTTTCCGATCTGAGAAATCACTGCACATCCACTATCCCATCAGCCCAGTCAGGCAATTCATTAACTTGTGTACACTTGCTTACCACATGCATACCACATGCTTACCACATGCATACCACATGCATACCACATGCATACCACATTACAATCAAAAAGAAGGCTGTATACTTGCATGGATTTAACAATGGTGGAAACTCACTCCAGGTAATGCTTACATCAATCAATCATACGATTTTAAATCCCTAACAGGGGAGTGTTCACTTCTGGAAAAGGGTGGTGAATAATTCTGCCTGTTTATTATTCATTCATTAATCATTTCTACCCCGCAGACAGGAAGCCTCCTGGGCTTGGATCCAAAATGGTGTCTCACCTTCAGCTTGTGCTCATGCTCCTTGTTGACGCGGGTCAGCAGCTGGGCCTTGCGTCGGTTCAGGGCGTCAATGAGGGCGTCACACTGAGCCACCAGACAGGCTTCGAACTCCACACCGTTCTCCTGCAGGACAGACAGACAGTCAGACAGACAGACAGACAGCTGGGACACACAGACGGTCAGCCAGTCAGACAGACAGACAGACAGACAGACAGACCAGACAGACAGACAGACAGACAGACAGACAGACAGACAGAACAGGACAGACAGACAGTCAGGACAGACAGACAGACAGACAGACAGACAGACAGACAGACAGACAGCTGGGACACACAGACAGACAGACAGACAGACAGCTGGGACACACAGGACGACAGACAGACAGACAGACAGTCAGACAGACAGACAGACAGACAGACAGACAGACAGACAGACAGACAGACAGACAGACAGACAGACAGCTGGGACACACAGACGGTCAGCCAGACAGACAGACAGACAGCTGGGACACACAGACGGTCAGCCAGACAGACAGACAGACAGACAGCTGGGACACACAGACGGTCAGCCAGTCAGCCAGACAGACAGCTGGGACACACAGACGGTCAGCCAGTCAGACAGACAGACAGACAGCTGGGACACAAGGCCGTGTGGACAGACTTTGAAGAACACATGAAGACAGGAATGACAGACGGGAAGGTAGTCTGTATCCTTCCTACGTTTAAAAAAAACAGGCAAACTGACAGACACAGAGAAAATGTGAGGCCGTATGTATCAAGCTTCTCAGAGCAGGAGGGCTGATCTTATTTTTATTTTAATAAATCAGATGAATAAGATTATATGGACAGATCCTAGATCTGCAGTCCTACTCTGAGACGTTTGATTCATACAACCCCATAATCATTGAAACACTTGTAACCCTGAAATGAAGCAGACCAGATGCTGACTGTCGGAGAAAAAGATGGCAGACTACTGGGAAAGGAACAGTCATGACTATTGGTAGTCTTTGTAGACTATTTGTAGTTTCTGTAGCATCTGTAGACTATTTGTAGTTTTTGTAGCGTTTGTAGACTATTTGTAGTTTTTGTAGCGTTTGTAGACTATTTGTAGTTTTTGTAGCGTTTGTAGACTATTTGTAGTTTTTGTAGCGTTTGTAGACTATTTGTAGTTTGGGGGTGGTAGAATATCTGAAGTCCATTTTTGTAATATTTTTTTTTACTATGTGAAGAATATTTGTAGTTTGAAACAAGTTCATTGTGGTGAACAGACTGAAGAAACAAGTGTAGTGAAAGAGGTTTGGAGATGCCATTGAGATCTACTTCTTAGGGTAAATGTTGTTGTTGTATAATTTGGTTCCATCAAGGTAAGGTACCACCACCAGGTATTGTTTGATTGTCTCCTGTATCTGCAGATACAGTATTATGCTCAGCTCTGGCCACCCAACCCAACTCTACCCCTCCATTCCACTCCTCTCCTTCTCCTCCTCTCCTCCTTCTCCTCCTTCTTCTCCTCTCCTCCTTCTCCTTCTCCTCTCCTCTTCTCCTTCTCCTCCTCTCCTCCTTCTCCTCCTCTCCTCCTCTCCTCCTTCTCCTCCTTCTCCTCCTTCTCCTCCTTCTCCTCCACTTCTCACCTTCAGTGTTCCCCACCCTGATGTCACTAGTAAGGGTCTCCCTGGACCATCAGCGGGCTGTGTGACAAGAAGAGGAGTCAGCTTGGACATCTGATCTAATCCAGAGACATAGAATGCTTTGCTCCAAAAGGAGACACTCAAAATGGCCACCAGAGAGTCCACCCATTATGGCATCATTGACCTGAATGGGGATACCAGTTCAACTCATTGTAATTCTATGATCTACCCACTTCATCCCACACTGTTGTCTGGGCAACGGCTTAGCTCTGTCTATGGCATCTAGTGTTACCGTACTATTTAGCTACTGTTGTTAGGTATCGCGGTAACGCTTCAGGCGAAGTTCACAGTTGTCAATGCTTAAAGTTCTATACATGTTAGTAAACTAAAAGGCGTCAGCATGCTTCAGTCGGCTAGGTGAACCGAACGAGTGTGCTCGCATACTCCCTTGAAAGACCTTCGCTTGAAAAACGAGATAAAAGCAGAAATAGTACTGTTTGTCCATCTTGAGACGCTGTAGCCAATATACTTTTCCTCAAAATAGTCAGAATTAATCTAAGATAACTCAAGAAATCTGTCATTAATTTTGACGTTTTTTTGTAGAGGAGATCTTAGTCTCGCAATTGTACATCTAACTGAGATGTTTGGTGCAGTATTTCTCATTGAAACACTGGTCTTTTTTATTTATTTAGTTTTTTAGTTTTTTTTTTAAAATATTTATTTTATTTATTTTTTTAGTCATTTAGCAGACGCTCTTATCCAGAGCGACTTACAGCTAGTGAGTGCATTTATTTTATTTTTTATTTTTTTCATACTGGCCCCCCGCGGGAATCGAACCCACAACCCTGGCGTTGCAAACGCCATGGTCTACCAACATCCCTGCCGGCCATTCCCTCCCCTACCCTGGACGACGCTGGGCCAATTGTGCACCGCCCCATGGGTCTCCCGGTCACGGCCGGCTACGACAGAGCCTGGATTCGAACCAGGATCTCTAGTGGCACAGCTAGCACTGCAATGCAGTGCCTTAGACCACTGCGCCACTCGGGAGAAAACGAGTCGTCTCTCGTTGAACGACAAGAATCCCTACTGTTGATCAATCACCGACGAAGGGGCGTAGACTTCGGCTACCTACTTCGGCTTGCTTAGTGTGCCCGAACAGCCGAAAAAACCCTCACCGAAGTCCAAAACGAACAAAAACGTCACAAAATGGCATCATAATATACAGTGAGGGGGAAAAGTATTTGATCCCCTGCTGATTTTGTACGTTTGCCCACTGACAAAGACATGATCAGTCTATAATTTGAATGGTAGGTTTATTTGAACAGTGAGAGACAGAATAACAACAAAAAAATCCAGAAAAACGCATATCAAAAATGTTATGAATTTATTTGCATTTTAATGAGGGAAATAAGTATTTGACCCCTCTGCAAAACATGACTTAGTACTTGGTGGCAAAACCCTTGTTGGCAATCACAGAGGTCAGAAGTTTCTTGTAGTTGGCCACCAGGTTTGCACACATCTCAGGAGGGATTTTGTTCCACTCCTCTTTGCAGATCTTCTCCAAGTCATTAAGGTTTCGAGGCTGACGTTTGGTAACTCGAACCTTCAGCTCCCTCCACAGATTTTCTATGGGATTAAGGTCTGGAGACTGGCTAGGCCACTCCAGGACCTTAATGTGCTTCTTCTTGAGACACTCCTTTGTTGCCTTGGCCGTGTGTTTTGGGTCATTGTCATGCTGGAATACCCATCCACGACCCATTTTCAATGCCCTGGCTGAGGGAAGGAGGTTCTCACCCAAGATTTGATGGTACATGGCCCCATCCATCGTCCCTTTGATGCGGTGAAGTTGTCCTGTCCCCTTAGCAGAAAAACACCCCTAAAGCATAATGTTTCCACCTCCATGTTTGACGGTGGGGATGGTGTTCTTGGGGTCATAGGCAGCATTCCTCCTCCTCCAAACACGGCGAGTTGAGTTTGAATCCAAAGAGCTCCATTTTGGTCTCATCTGACCACAACACTTTCACCCAGTTCTCCTCTGAATCATTCAGATGTTCATTGGCAAACTTCAGACGGCCCTGTATATGTGCTTTCTTGAGCAGGGGGACCTTGCGGGCGCTGCAGGATTTCAGTCCTTCACGGCGTAGTGTGTTACCAATTGTTTTCTTGGTGACTATGGTCCCAGCTGCCTTAAGATCATTGACAAAATCCTCCCGTGTAGTTCTGGGCTGATTCCTCACCGTTCTCATGATCATTGCAACTCCACTAGGTGAGATCTTGCATGGAGCCCCAGGCCGAGGGAGATTGACAGTTATTTTGTGTTTCTTCCATTTGCGAATAATCGCACCAACTGTTGTCACCTTCTCACCAAGCTGCTTGGCGATGGTCTTGTAGCCCATTCCAGCATTGTGTAGGTCTACAATCTTGTCCCTGACATCCTTGGAGAGCTCTTTGGTCTTGGCCATGGTGGAGAGTTTGGAATCTGATTGATTGGTTGCTTCTGTGGACAGGTGTCTTTTATACAGGTAACAAACTGAGATTAGGAGCACTCCCTTTAAGAGTGTGCTCCTAATCTCAGCTCGTTACCTGTATAAAAAACACCTGGGAGCCAGAAATCTTTCTGATTGAGAGAGGGTCAAATACTTATTTCCCTCATTAAAATGCAAATCAATTTATAACATTTTTGACATGCGTTTTTTCTGGATTTTTTTGTTGTTATTCTGTCTCTCACTGTTCAAATAAACCTGCCATTAAAATTATAGACTGATCATTTCTTTGTCAGTGGGCAAACGTACAAAATCAGCAGGGGATCAAATACTTTTTTCCCTCACTGTATGCACCAACTCTTCTGAACTGTTTCGGCTGGGAAGCACGCCTGAAGGAATACCTAAAGGATGACAGGGGATTGGGGCTATGACTGGGTGAGAGTGTAGGAGGGGCTTGTGATGGCAGGTGGGAGGAGTTATTAGTGTAGGGGGAGGTGCTTGTGACAGCGGAAGGAGGGACTGTGACTGTGTCCCAAATGGCACCCTCTTCCTATATAGTGCTCTACTTTTGACCAAAGCCCTATTAGCCCTGATCAAAAGTAGTGCACTATGTAGGGAATAGGGTGCAATATGGGATGAATCCTATGCCAGTGTAGGTAGGAGGAGCAGTGAGCATTTACTGTACCTGGATGTGCTGCACCATGTTCCTCAGCTGAACCAGGAACTCCTTGGCCTCGGTAGCTCTGTCAGACAGGATGTTGAGGGCCTGGGACAGCTGGCCCTGAGGAGGACAGAGAGAAACATGGTCAGCATTGGACACGTCCATATCAATCAATCAATCAATCAATTGGTCGGAGGTGGTTGGGGGGGAGGGGGGTCGGAGGTGGGGGGGTCGGAGGTGGTTGGGGAAGCGGGGTTGGAGGTGGGCGGTCGGAGGTGGGGGGTTGGAGGTGGTTGGGGGGAAGGGGGGGTTGGAGGTGGGGGGTTGGAGGTTGGTTGGGGAAGGGGGAAGCGGGGTTGGAGGTGGGGCGGTCGGAGGTGGGGGGTTGGAGGTGGTTGGGGGGGAAGGGGGGGTTGGAGGTGGGCGGTCGGAGGTGGTTGGGGGAAGGGGGGTTGGAGGTGGGCGGTCGGTCGGAGGGTCGGAGGTGGTTGGGGAGAGGGGGTCGGAGGGTGGGGGGTCGGAGGTGGTCAGGGGGAAGTGGTTGGTGGTGGCTGGGGGGAGGGTGGTTGAAGGTGGGGGGTCGGAAGTGGTTGGGGGAGGGGTGTCGGAGTGGTTGGGGTCGTGGGTTTGGAGTGGGAGGTCAGATGTGGAAAAGGGGGGGGGGGCGGAGGGGGGGGGGGGGGGGGGGGGGGGGGGTGGGGGGGGGGGGGGGGGGGGGGGGGGGGGTTTCGGGAAAAAAAAGGGGCCGGGGGGGAGAAAAAGGGGGGCCCCCGGGTTTACCGGAAAAAAAAACCCCCCCTAGCCAAAAAAAAGGGTAAAAAAATTTTCCCTTAAAAAACCCCCAAAAAAAAAACCCCCTCTTCCAGAAAAACCCTCTTTCCCAAAAACCCCCCTTTAAAAAAACCCGGGTTTCAAAAAACCCCCAAAAAGAAAAAAAAGGGGTCAACCAAGGTTATTTTCCCCAAAAGCACCCCATGGGAAAAACCCCAAAAAGGATAGAAGTTTGTACCTTTGGACCCTTTTTTCCAAGCATTTTTGTCCTTAAAGTTACCGGGGCCGGGGTCAAAATATGGCGTTAAAGGGCCCGGGGCTTTTACCAAATCAAGGGCTAAAATTTTTTGACCCGGGTTTGGGACCACCCATTGGGGTCCGACCACATGGGAATACACGTCTGAGATATATAGTAGTATAGTACCCATTTACAACGCTTTTACCAAAGCGGCTACAAGTCATGCGTGCATACTTTTTGGTATAGGGGTCCCGGGATCGAACCCACTAACCTTGGCGTTAAAGACAGCCGTGACTCTACCAGCTGAGCTACAGAGGAAAACAATGCCCTTTGACCTAGAGGTTTGAAACCTGACAGATCTGCTAACACGACCCAGTAGCACCATGGGACTGAGGCAACAGGTAGAGAGAGAGAGATGAGAAGAGAGAGAGAGAGAGAGGAGAGAGAGATGAGACGAGAGGAGAGGAGAGACGCGAGAGAGAGAGAGAGAGAGCAGAGAGAGAAAAGAGAGAGAGAGAGAGAGAGCAGAGAGAGAGAGAGGAGAGAGAGAGAGAAAGAGAGAGAGAGAGAGAGAGAGGGAGAGAGAGAGATAGGAGAGAGAGAGAGAGAGAGAGCACAGTAGACTACTGTGATGAAGCTGGCCGATTGCTTCTCATAAAGGTTTAAAATATGACTGGTACAGGATTTACAAAAAAAATATATGAGTTTTATTTTCCATAAATATCATAAATAAACAGACTTAAAACAGGCAAAGTTAATAACAAAGCTAAAAGTCATGTGGAGATGAGGTGTAAAATATGCAAACGCTCCTCACATTCTCCTTGACAACCATCCTCCTCTCCCACACCTGTAGCCCTCTACACTCCTACCTGTATACGGGTTGAAAATGGCAGATTTGAACATTGATAAGCACCTACATGTTAACGTAGTGGCAGTACAGTAACATGCTATACATGACGTCAGAGCTCAGTGGCTGGACAGTAACATGCTATACATAACGTCAGAGCTCAGGCTCTGAGCTTCACAGCTCTGTAAAGGGTTTTGACTGACAGCCGTTCTGAACTTGAGGACCACACGCAACAATAAGTTGCCCCATCCCTCCTGCTGATTGGGCAACTTTAGCACATGTTTTGTTGTCGGAGTGACGGAAATGCTGTAAATTAAGAGGACTTGTAGATGAAGGGAAGGAGACAGGTTAAAGATGGATTTTTAAGCCTTGAGAGAATTGAGACATGGATTGTGTATGTGTGCCATTCAGAGGGTGAATGGGCAAGACAAAAGATTTACAGTGGCTTGCGAAAGTATTCACCCCCCTTGGCATTTTTCCTATTTTGTTGCCTTACAACCTGGAATTAAAATTGATTTTTTGGGGGTTTGTATCATTTCATTTACACAACATGCCTACCACTTTGAATATGCAAAATATTTTTGATTGTGAAACAAACAAGAAATAAGACAAAAAAACAGAAAACTTGAGTGTGCATAACTATTCACCCCCCCAAAGTCAATACTTTGTAGAGCCACCTTTTGCAGCAATTACAGCTGCAAGTCTCTTGGGGTATGTCTCTATAAGCTTGGCACATCTAGCCACTGGGATTTTTGCCCATTCTTCGAGGTAAAACTGCTCCAGCTCCTTCAAGTTGGATGGGTTCCGCTGGTGTACAGCAATCTTTAAGTCATACCACAGATTCTCAATTGGATTGAGGTCTGGGCTTTGACTAGGCCATTCAAAGACATTAAAATTTTCCCCTTAAACCACTCGAGTGTTGCTTTAGCAGTATGCTTAGGGTCATTGTCCTGCTGGAAGGTGAACCTCCGTCCCAGTCTCAAACCTCTGGAAGACTGAAACAGGTTTCCCTCAAGAATTTCCCTGTATTTAGCGCCATCAATCATTCCTTCAATTCTGACCAGTTTCCCAGGCCCTGCCAATGAAAAACATCCCCACAGCATGATGCTGCCACCACCATGCTTCACTGTGGGGATGGTATTCTCAGGGTGATGATAGGTGTTGGGTTTGCGCCAGACATTGCGTTTTCCTTGATGGCCAAAAAGCTCAATTTTAGTCTCATCTGACCAGAGTACCTTCATCCATAAGTTTGGAGAGTCTCCCAAATGCCTTTTGGCAAACACCAAATGTGTTTGCTTATTTCTTTCTTTTCTGGCCACTCTTCCCTAAAGCCCAGGTCTGTGGAGTGTATGGCTTAAAGTGGTCCTATGGACAGATACCCCAATCTCCGCTGTGGAGCTTTGCATCTCCTTCAGGGTTATCTTTGGTCTCTTTGTTGCCTCTCTGATTAATGCCCTCCTTGCCTGGTCCGTGAGTTTTGGTGTGCGGCCCTCTCTTGGCAGGTTTGTTGTGGTGCCATATTCTTTCCATTTTTCCATGCCAGGCGCACCTTTTTAAGTGTGTCAAGAACTGCAACGCTGCTGGGTTCATGCTCAACAGTTTCCCGTGTGTATCAAGAATGGTCCACCACCCAAAGGAAATCCAGCCGATTTGACACAACTGCATTAGAGTCAACATGGGCCAGCATCCCTGTGGAACCCTTTCGACACCTTGTAGTCCATGCCCCCAACGAATTGAGGCTGTTCTGAGGGCAAAAGATGGTGCAACTCAATATTAGGAAGGTGTTCCTAATGTTTTGTACACTCAGTGTAGACTATTTAGTGGGGTCTCAATCAAATGATCCATAGCCTATAGGCTATACGAAGTGCATGCTCGGAGAAGCACAGAGCAAAGTTATATTTCTAAGATAATGAACTGAGTCTTTGGCGCTGCTGGGATGGTGTAAATAAAACTACACTGCATTACACACATTTACATTTACATTTTAGTCTTTTAGCAGACACTCTTATCCAGAGCGACTTACAGTTAGTGACTACACATTTTTTTTTATACTGGCCCCCCGTGGGAATCGAACCCACAACCCTGGCGTTGCAAACGCCATGTTCTACCAACTGAGCTACATCCCTGCCGGCCATTCCCTCCCCTACCCTGGACGACGCTGGGCCAATTGTGCGCCACCCATGAGTCTCCCGGTCGCGGCCTGCGGCGACAGAGCCTGGATTTGAACCAGGATCTCTAGTGGCACAGTTAGCACTGCGATGCAGTGCCTTAGACCACTGCGCCACTCAGGAGTGGATAAAACCTTTTTTTGTGCTGCCTAACCATCGGCTGTGCTGTGTAGGCCTACGGTGGCATATCAGGAGGAGAGTCAAAGGCTACTTCCCGAAAATACATTTTGATTAGGCCTAGTCCAAAAAAATGCAATATCGTGACCTCACAATAAGCCAGATTCAAGTAACTTGGTGCTGAAACTTGAAGCGGCAGCCGTGGCACAGTCAATCGGAAATGGACAGCTCATGGTGCTGAAAGTAGGCAAATTAGAGTAGGTATAATTCAATGGTCTTCATTTTAAATATACTAACAACAAGAAGGCTTTATGTTGGAGCCTATTTCTTCCTATTTAAGAAATAAGAGGTAGGTCTACCTGTTTGACAGACGAAATTAGGCTATAGGCTGTTATCTATAGATTTTTCAGGCCAATTCCTTCACCCACCATGCACTCTTTAAATAGCCTACCTCTGTGTCAATGAAGGGCTGTTAAGTTAAAACCAAGACTTGAATTGAGGCGGTGTGAGAGGGTATGCCATAGGCCTACCTTTAATTAAAGAAAATGGCAGAAAGCACAGGCCTACCCCTTGTTAGCTTAAGATAAAATAAAATAAAACGGATCTAATTATGCAAAGTGATCTATAACAGCGCTTTGGTCCGTGATGCTTTAGGCTAGAAACAACCTGTGAAATAGCCGTGACGCCGATGCATATGGGGATATATTCGTTTAGTTTCTTTGAGATTCAGAGGCGGAGCTACAACCTTCTATAGCCGAGGAGACAAAACATTAAACTTTTCCTGGGAAGTCATCTAATTTTGTCACTATTCATTGATTAAGCAATTCACTTTCTTAACAGTAGAAGATGTTTTAGGGAAACACTTGTGACCTCTCGTTGGGTTAAGCCACGGAGGAAGAGTAGCAGTCGTTGGGGTTAAGCCACGGAGGAAGAGTAGCAGTCGTTGGGGTTAAGCCACGGAGGAAGAGTAGCAGTCGTTGGGGTTAAGCCACGGAGGAAGAGGAGCAGTTAGACGCTTAGTTTC